GATACTAGCCTTTACGTGGCGCTATACCGATTAACCGTATTGGTAGAGGGGGGGTGCCCACGTCCTCCGTCACATGTCGCATGTCGTTACTAGTCTTTGTAAAGCATCTAAGTTTAGTGAAGTTAGTATTATTTCTTATTTTCTACATTTGAGGCCATAAGTACTGATGCTTATATCCCGAAATGCGGGAACGGCAGTAAACTGTGAGAAATATAGGGTAATTTAACCCATCTCCTCCTTTTCATATCTTCTACACACACACACGAGTATAGTTTAAGTAAGCTCCCTGCTCCCATTCAGGATTTGCAGATGATTCCAAAGGCATTAGAAGGAACAGAAGTCCTTACAGGAGACCAGGAGTGAGAGACCCTCAGACCCGTCCCCCTGGGCGCTGTTTGTCAAAATTGGAAGGGGGGGAGAACCGAGTTAAAGTCGGGCTGTCACCTGTATGATATAATGAGGACTGGAGATCCTTCGCCCGGTGTGTCTGTCACCTGCATGATGCTCAGGGCCAACGACAGGCGCATTTGACCCACTGCCACGACGAATGTCGTGGCCTGGTGCTGACCTTTGTCAGACGCGCTAGATTGGCAAAACCGATACAACAGACCTGAACCCTACCTCAAACCTTCTTTCGATGCGGGTATGTCCTGTATTTCTCATTTAGGGGTTTGCAACATACATCAGATTAACTTGAAGTATGGTTGTAATGTCACGCCCGGAACATACAAATTACGCTTTTAAAAGGACTTTGAAGAATTACCATCTAGCCTTGTGAAACAGAACAGAAATCAGAAGATGGGTGTTATTCACACATGAAATTAAGAAATGACCCAACATGGATTACAACTTCGGTTACAAGAACCCAGTCACATCTGGCTTAACAGAACAACGTAACAACTAATAATTTCAAGGTGAGGTAGATGAGCCTAACGACTCACAGAATACTTTAACGTGCACAAAGAGCTCTGGTTTGTAGTAAACCGGCGAGACAAAGCCAAATGGCTAGAACATTCAAAGCCACTAACGCTAGTCGCTAATAATCACAGCTTAACATGGCCTGGAATAGGCAGACACGCTCTTAAAAACTAACTTCCGAAAGTATTACTTAAATAACACTTCATTCTACCTTAATCTGAATAAAATTTCGCTCTCTCATTTACATTCTGGCATGAAACGCGTGGGTGAAAGGAAAGTAATAAGAAAGGCTTTTCAACGTAGAATGAACAATTCGTTAAAAATCTGCTGTGTACATCACATGACTTCCTTGTACGGAATATTAAATTATACGCACTTTTTCTTGCATTTCATTTAAACTTATTGGATTGAATTAAATCTACTTCGCCGACAGCGCATAAACCACAATAGAATAAATGCATTCTTTAAAATTCACTCCAGTATTTGTTTACCATAGCGACACTCTGGAGCTAGATTCACTTAACAGTATTATATTTCGTTCATATTATAACTCAGAATGCACAAAATTTATATGATTTAAAGAATAGAATTATCTAATCTTTGCCACATGTTCTATTCAAATACTATAAAAAAGCTAGAATAATGTATAAAAGAAATTAACCAAACAAAACAAAAAAAGAAACAGTTTTTCACAGACGATTGAGTATTTCTCATTCAATTAATTCAGTTCTCACTTCGCGAGAAGGCAAAAATACATAAAAACTCAAAATATCTATATTAAGAAATAGGAAGTAAATTTTAAACACTTATTTCCTTGAAAAAATTCCAGAAATGATTAAGCATGATTTAATTGGCAATAATAAATGAAGGCGTTATTTGTGTTGTTGCGAAGCTAAGTTTCTCTAGATTGGCAACAAATCCACTATCCTGCTGTTTTAAATGTAAACAAACAATGGCCGCCATCAAAAAAATTATTATTCTTAGCGGCACTTAAACAACTTTAAAATTGTTGATAATTCCAAAAATATTGCATACAGATTTACGAAAGGCATAAAAACCTTAACCAGAAGATAAAAACAACATAATTCAATCATTTTTAAAGCAAAAAATGTACAATTTACAAACATATAAGAGTAAAGAAACTGAGATCACTGAGCCGGGTAACAGAGTGGATATATATATAAATATATTTATATACGTTTGGTGCGGCCGATTGCAACCAAAGTGCAAGGTGCACATCTACATGTTATAGCAGTCCTATATACAAAATTTCAACGTTCTGAGGCTACTCTTTTTTGAGTTATGCGAGATACGTACGTACGTACATACGTTCGTAGAGACGCTACGAAAAATTCTCTTCAGAATTAATTTTAAAGCAGTTTTATAATTTTTTTGGAGGAAACGAGTCTTTTATTCTGTCCTTACGTACAGATATCACGCAAAAACATCGTTAAATTGCATCGATAGCGGTTAAAATAGATATTTTCGTTGAAATATGGCCTCCTGAAACTTTTCGCGATTACAATACTTCCTTTTTACTTCGTACAAGGAAGTAAAAATAAACAGATAAACTTCACAGTTAGTACATGACGGATTCCATCCTTAATGATCACAGCATAGACCCGATTGGATAAACACTCAGGGAAATATCACGGTAGAAGAATTAAGATTTTCGTAACGTTATTTGTTAATAAATGCAGTATGACCATACAGTGAACCGAATCCGAGTCTTGGATTTATATCACTGGTATTTTGACCTTCGCCCATAGGAAAGTCTAGAGTCGATAGGAGGAACGTCTTTAATGCCTTACATTTCCTCACTATACGACAGGGAAAGTCGGTAGTTAAGTTGTTTATATGCTATCATTAACCACTTTCAACTCAAGCATCACTGTAGGGAAATAAGGATTTTCGGAGCAGGAGTTATCTGAAACACTAATCCAGAATGGAATTCAAATCTTCAAATCATAATTCAGGTGCTGAGCACTACGCATGAGTTATGGGAAGATAGTCTTTTAATTCTTTACATCAAAACTCCCCAAAATGAAAAGGAAGAAAGTTTGTAAGACGTAACTGATTATCTCAAATAAAAGAAGAATTCACTCAAATTGCATACAAAAGTAAAAATGGCATCTGGCATTCATAATTCTTTCGCATCTGGCTTAGTAAATTCAATTGTAGAATAATCTGCCAGTGAGGTAAGAGAATATGACTCAGATACAAAGCCACCCGAACAGATACAAAACACGTCTATATGCGTTTATCAGTTAATTTAAGTCTACCATTTTTTATGGCGAAGTTGCTAGTTTATTGACACGTAGCAGACGAATATATGCTTCACAAACATAGCTCCAATGGAAGTTTCTGTAAGGGAAATCGGCTTGCATTTCGGTTACCAAGAAAATACAATGTAACCCTTTCGATCGTGATAAAACTTCAGAAGAAAATAAGAGTCGAAGCGATAGAGACACGGTAACATGAGTTTTAATAAACATGCATATCCTACTATACTTCATGTTTTTCCTGGTAGTGTATTTTAATATGTAGTAATTATGTGTATATAACTTTTGAAAATAAAGCAATGGAGAAGCATATATAAGCTATGCCATTAATGCTGCATATGCTGTATCTGGTAATTAGTATTCTTCAGTTTGAATGGATAAAAAGCATCCAGTGATAATTCAGAAGAATAGCGGAATTTGTCACCAAACACATTAGAAATCACATTCTTCCCATGACTCTGTAATTCTTTGATGTTAATCTCAAAACCATACAGGAACATCAGGTTATTTTAAGCAGCAGATGTGAAAACTGTACATTGCCACTGCCGGTATTCAAACCTCTCCAAGATAAGTATGCTTCCAGTTAACCACGAAGTTATGCGGAAAGGAATTCAAGCGAATACACTTAAAGCTAATTTTATTAAATAACTTTTGCATATATACCAATTACCTCCTTATAGAAAAAAACATGTTGAATAACCAATGGTTCTTCTTTCTCCTTGGAAGGTTGTTCTTATGTGATTACGGCAAAGCCTCGAGGTCTACCTGAGGGGAGGGATGTCTTCGTGGTGGACTCTGTAAGGCTTCTAAACACGTTAACATAGGGGAAACCCACGAAAATGCCCATGCAGCTAGCTTATTCACAAAGCCTACAGACTGTTTCTGCTGTTTGCTCCGATTGGTTGACTTTTGGTTCATCGCCTTTAGAATTTGTATTTAAGCGTGGTGTACCAAAATTTGAGCATAGCTGACCGGCGAAAACGCACCTCAGCGGTAACGAGCGCGGAAAAAGTTCTTTGACTTCTAGATCGCCGGTTCTATCCCCGTTCGTAGCTTTCATAAACTCTGCTCTACACGGATTTTTTTAAAATTTTTTATTTTAACTTTATTGAATGACTTCGTTGTTACCAATCAATTAGATTTTTCGATCACTTTTAAAATTACTAAGTCATTTTTTTGAAAAATATTAGTTTTAAAAATATAAACGTTACACTGTATAATTTTCGTACATTAGGCGTCTAAAAATAGTATTTAAAATGATATTTTATAATTATGGTGATACCTCTGTAGATTCGTTTCACTATTGTTTCTTTGATATTCCTATCATTTATATTCCTTTAGGTAAACAATCGTTGTTATGTATTGCTATCGATTAAATGCATGGGCTAATTCAGTTTTAAGTTCAAAAATGATTTTTTTTTCCTTCTCAGCAATGTTTCTGGATTAAAAAAGCAAGGTTTGAAGAATGCAATGAAATTTTAAGTAACTTGAATTAACAACTATTCTCTTGAGATACTTACGATTTAACATTACAGGTTTTTTGTTTACAAAAATGTGTAGAAGCGTTGAGAGACAAATCCCACTGATTTTCTAAACTAGATATTCCTGTTTTTTCTCTTTATTCCCCTGACTCAAGTATCAGGGAGTGAGAAAAAGGATGTAAAAATAAAAATGAAATTTAATTCTATCGGTTGGAAGTGTTTATTTATTCATTTTGAGGATTAAATTTCCAACCAAGTTTTTTTTAATAATTTAATGGCAGCCAATAAGTAAAGTATCTTCAGTTATTATTTTTTACAGGCATAATAAATACTGGTCGACATGAGGTCGAAGAAAATGCATTTCTCCCTTCACGGCATGGAAGAAAGAGTGAACTTCGTGAAAATGATGCCTTTGTGGTTAACATGCAATGCAATGAAATCTAGGAATGGACGATGCCGAAATGTACTGTATATTTTCTACGTAACAAAAAGGAAAAGAAATGCACTATTTTTATCTTCTTCACGTGCATTCTACAATCCCGCTACAACTCAAATAAAGTTAATCCTGCAATGTGTTTTAAAAAAGACTGTTCAGTTTTCTTATGAGTCTCATTTGTGGTCTCATTTCTTATGAGTCTCAACTCACACGTGTAACTCTGTAATCGGGGGAGGTTCTGCGTTCCAAGCTGTTCAAAATTCCGAGAAAATTTATTAAAAAAAATCAAATATAACCTATGTCTTAAGATGAAAGGCCTCCAAGAGTTAGCTCACTTCATAAAAAATATCTGACATGGATTCCATATAGCTTCCTTGTACGGCCTATTAAATTATACCCATTTTTTGCTGCACTTCATTTAAACATATTTCCTCAAATTTAATTAGAGATATACTTTTCATTCAATCAGTTCAGTTCTTACTCCTCCTCAAACCAAAAATACATAAAAACTCAAAATATCGTCATTAAAAATTGTAAAATACAAAAATATCTAAAACATCAATACAGTTAAAAAAGAAATTTTGCAATTAAAATTAAAGTTTCTACGCAAAAAGAAGCAATTCGAATAGAAGGGCAGGAAGACAAAATTTTGGGGGGCACACAAGTGAAAGTAGTAAAATTGTGCAAAAAGACACGGATGTTGATGCACCAGCTGACTTGATTCACTACTCTACTGAGAGTTTCAAATGTAAACAAACAGCGGCCTCTTTAAGATTAGCGCCACTTAAACTTTTAAATTTTTGGCAATTCCACAATTATTGCATACAGATTAACTAAAGGCATAAGAACAACATAATTAAATTATTTTTAAAGCAATAATAGCATAATTTACCACCACAACTACATGTTATGATAATACAAAACACAAAATTGCAACGTTGTACGACTACTCGTTTCCACATTTTGCGACATGTTAATATTTTGTTAAATATATTAACACGTAAACACGTACGCACAGATGTCATAAAAAAAATCTTTTGTGAATACATTTTAAATCCATTTTACAATGCGTTTTGGAAGGAAAAGTCCTTTATTCTATCCGTACGTACAGATGTCGTGCAAGAACATCGTTCAAATGGATTCAAGAGCGGTCAAAATGGATAATTTCGTTGAAATATGATACCGTAAATTTTTTGAAAAAAAATAAAAGTTCGCAGAATACAAACTAGAATATAAAACATGAAATAAGTTGATTATGAATACTTTTAAAAGTTGAATATTAATATATCGTTTTAAATGTGGTAATTTAAAAATTGGATTAAGGAATGCCTTCAAATACTTGAAATAAAATCACTTCAAAATCAAGTACCACATTACTTCAAAATTCCGTGGTTTTGTTTTCGAAAACTTGTGAAATTAAAAGTAAAAATAACATAAAAATATTTAAACATAAATCTAATAAACCATTTTTCGAAACATTTTTTCATATTCTTGATATAATCTTGTAGAGTCATTAGGTTTTTGATGCTGGAAACGTAAAAAATTAGCAACGGCTTTGCCAGGACTCGAACCTGGATCTCTCAAATACGCGCCGAGTATGCGACCGTTACACCACGAAGGCATGCTGGAAGGAAGGATAAAATCCCCCTTTTAAAGGGGACTGGAGATTAGGGGATATAATCTCCAAATCCTGGTGGTGGCGAATTATTGTTCCCCCACCTTTTAGTTCGGGCGCCACTGTACAGTCATAAAACTGTTTTGTAGCAGGAGACATGAAAACTGAGCAACGCATTAGCCGAAACTCGAGCTTAGAGTTCTCGAATACGGATCGAGTGTACTACCATTACAAAACGAAGGCAGGGTGGAAGGAGGAAGAAAATACCTCACGATCTTTAAGTAAGTTTTGCACGAATATTTCTAATGTAATCTTCATAGTACAAATATAGTATAAATATTTATATTCAAATATATTAACAGTATAAATATTTGTTTTCTGTTGTATGCTGTATATTATACAAGGGCAATGGAAAAAATCATTCCTTTAAAAGGGATCAGTGCAAGAGAACGATTGTGATTCCCTGACCTAGTTGGTTATCTCGATCGATTAATCGACTTCCAAAAGAAGTATAATTTATTAGTGCAAAGGGAGTTTTGTCCCTGAAGGACCATTGTTTTCGTTTTGCGATTTTGCGTTTGTTCACTATAAATGTCCGTTTCACTTTTCAAACTGTTGCCGCCGAGTCCTGCATTATATTTGAATAAATTAAATAATGAAAAATCTGCATAAATGTATGCATATTTCTCGCATTGTGATAAAGCAACGGTACATAGAGCCATCGAATTTTGAATAACGTAATCCGCTTACGAATATGGGCATGTGAAAGGCCCAATTTGAAATTTGGAATTTATTTTATTATCGATTTCATATTTTGAAAACTTTAAAGAATTTTTCAGTAACAAACTGAACGATTTAAAAGCGAGCCATGGCAACACTCTACGGGGGGGGGACCTTTTTATCAACAGCGCGCGGAACTGTGTATCGAAAATTCTAAAGATAGGCTCATTTTAAAATTATTTTGCGACATTGCTATAGAACTGAATTTTATAGTTTAAGTGCAAAGACCGTGATATTTAATAAATAAAAGTAACAGACAAATTGTTAAAAAAAAAGGCCCCTTTGGACGTCATTTAAAATCTGAAACCTTTCAATTTTTTTATAATTATCTAGTTTTCAGAATCCTGATATAATTACGACATCCGGAGTCCGAGCCCAAATTAGAATGTTAATTCGTTACAGATTGTGATAAGTTATTATTTCTTTAAAACTTCTGAAAGAAAGGTATTATTAGAAAGCATGTAAATTTAAAGACTTTTACTGGCAAACTTTTCATATATTCTCTAACGCCGAAATCTAATTTTCTTGCTCATTTTCTAGCACAGAATATCCATAAATGTAAACAAAAGAATTCTTTAAGACTGAGAAACATTACCAAAGTAGCAAAGTTTTCTAAATTTTCAAGCACATACATATATATTTAAATTTCATGAGTTTAAGAGACCTTCTGCACTAAAAGCTAAATGTGTGAAAATTAAGAGAATTCATGCCGCTTGCTTTGAGATATACTTAACTGCAGCTCTATAATTTCATCTTTGCATATTTTAGCCGGAAAAACATTGTACGCATATTCTCTTTTGAAGAACACGAGATTTAAAATTAGAAATCTGCTTAAAAGAACTATAAAAATTACCACGAAACTTTTCTGCTTTTCTTCATTAAGACCGACCAGCTTAAAAGACCCTGGAGAGTTTCCTGCATCTGATCTGAATTTTTCACATTTTCTGAAGAAAAATGTCCTTATACCGAACAATCAGAATATTTCGTGACATTAAATACTTATTTCGTAAAATATTTTCCTCGATAAGTATCTGTGATAACATGAAATAATCACCATAAGTCATTATGATCACTATCATAGACTCGGCAGTAAATCAGAAGAAGAATGGGCAGGGTATTATAATTTGTTCCACCTTTGGTATTTCCATACTCAAGGCTCTTCTAGTCGTAGATTAAACATGGCTTATGTCAATTTTTATTAAGATCTGTCACAAAATTTTACGATATTGTACCACATTTCCTTTTCAAAAATATGTAAGTGCATTTCAGAAAATGAAAGGAAAATGTTTTCAAATATTTAGAAGCGTTTTTAACATTCTAAGCATAAGTTATGGAATGATATTTAAAACATACCCAAATTAGTATTGCAGTGCAATTAATGTTTTTGGACCGAGATGCAAAACTTCATATTATATTAAACAAATAGAATATGCAACAATATTTAAAATAATTTTTAGAAGGTAAAGCATGGGCATTGAAATAAAAACAATATTTATAAATATTTATTTTCCTTATTAGTCCAAAGGGGCTTTGTCCCTGAAGGACTATTGTTTTCGTTTTGCGATTTTGCGTTGAATCACTATAAATGTCCGTTTCACTTTTCAAACTGTTGCCACCCAATGTTAGAGTCCTGCATTATATTTGAAGAAATTAAATAATGAAAAATCTGCATAAATGTATGTATATATCTCGCCTTGGGATAAAACAACGGTACATAGAGCCATCGAACTTTGAATGACGTCATCCTCCTACGAATATGGGGATGTGGAAGACCAAATTTGAAATTTGAAATTTGTTTCATGATCGATTTCATAGTTTGTAAACATTTAACGAATTTTTGAGTAATAAACTCAACGATTTAAAAGCGAGCAATGGCAACATTCTACGGTAAAAAAAAAAAATATTTTTATATCCAGCGCGCGGAAGTGTATATCGGAAATTTTAAAGAAAGGCTCATTTTAAAATTATTTTGCGACACTGCTACTGAACTAAATTTTATGGTTTAAGTGCAAACATGATATTTAATAAATAAAGGTAACACACAAATTGTTAAAACAAACACTCCTTTGGACCTAATTTAAAATCTGAAACCTTGCAGATTTTTTATGATAATTTTTTTAATTCAATTTTTTTTATTTTTGCCCTCTACAATCACTAATAATTTAAAACACGATTTTATGGTTAAATCAGCCGTAACTGTTTTTCCTACAACACGTGGTTTTAATGAATAAGGTATTTAATTTTAATTAACAAATTATTATGATTTAAGCTTTACTATAACTTCTCCTTTCCATAATCCTCACGGGAATACAAATCACTTGTTTTGTGTATTTAAGCTGAGGGTGTAGAGGCATTAGGATTTTTTGAAAGCCAGAGAGATGAAAAATATGCAACCGCCTTCACCGGGAATCGAAACACGGACCTCTGGAATACCGGCCCAGCATGCTACCGTTACACCACGAAGGGACGCTAGGGAAGTCGTAGAAATACCTTATAAGGGTTTTAAATATTCCGAGCTTTTGCCAGTACCGTCTTGTTGTTTGATATTATTGCCAACTCTACCTGCGTTATAGTATGGCTTTAACTTTTTGTTATGCTAATTTAAATATCGGCAAATAGTGCTTTTTTAAGACTTAAATAAAAAGGTTAATATAATAAAAGCAAAATATTTAAAAATAAAAATTTGCATCTTCAAAAACAGAAAA